CTTAATTCAGCAAATTGAAAAAAAAAAACGAAAATAATGACGAATGTTTGGCAGATATAATACAAAAATTATCACAGGAGAAGAAAAAAAATAGTTTCCAAAATAGTGAGTGAGTGAGTGAGTGAGTGAGTGAGTGAGTAGACTGCTGGGCTTATAAAAGTTGTACGGGGTCAAGGCAGTGGGGGTGAAGGCGGGAGGAGAACTCTTCCCGCCAAATGTCAAGAGCAGGGCGGGAGGCAGCAACACTTAACACTGCTGACACCTGTTGAAACTTCCTTGATTGGGTGACGGGTGGGTGATGGGTGGGTGAGGGGCAGTGATGGGTGGGTGAGGGCGAGTGATGGGTGGGTGAGGGCAGTGATGGGTGGGTGACGGGCGAGTGATGGGTGGGTGAGGGCGAGTGATGGGTGGGTGAGGGGCGAGTGATGGGCAGTGGATGAGGGGCAGTGGACACATATAGTGAAGTGGGTTTGTAAAGGAGAAAAAGAAGTAAGTCTCACAAACACACACACACACACACACACACACACACACACACACACACCCACACACACACACACACACACACACACACACACACACACACACACACACACACACACCACACACACACACACACACACACCCACACACGGCTTCAAATCCCAGAACGTGCGACTAACATTGGTCGTGTCCCTTGAGAGAAGTAATCCTGCAGATGAGGCTTGACAATACCTGAATGGTGAGGGAAGAAATGGTGCCACCTCACCCACACCCCACCCCCTTAGTCCTCCCTCCCCCCTCTTCAGATGTCCCCTTCCCCTTAGTGTCTCTCTCCCTTCAGACGCGTCCTCCAGGGGAAGTAGGAGGGGTAGGACAAAGAAGGTTCCGCTGTGAGGTAGTTACGTGTTCTTCCCTCATGCTGTGGTGATGATGATGGAGGTGGTGATGGTAGTGGTGATGGTGATGGTGGTGGTGATGGTGATGGTGGTGGTGATGGTGGTGGTGGTGATGGTGATGGAGGTGGTGATGGTGATAGTGATGATGGTGGTGGTGATGATGATGATGATGATGATGATGATGATGATGATGATATCTGTAGTGGGGTGGAAGAAGCTGCTTGTTCGGTCATTTTTTTCTCTGTATATGTCTATCTCTCACACACACACACACACACACACACACACACACACACACACACACACACACACACACAACAATAGTAAATGGCCCAAATGAAGACAAAGCGAGAAAGATAAACAAGCTGTTGGGGCCAACTATTGTTAAGTTCACCATCTATAGCGAGATAGTGAGCACAGCCAGCAGCCTTCACCACAACTCCTTCCTGTTACTGGCTCAAGAATCCTTCCCTCCTCATTTAGCTCCTCGCCGATGACCCACAGTATACTAACACCAGCGGCCATCTTATACACTTGAGAACGATCATATATAACTTACTACCATGATCGGAACTATATACTGCAGATTTCTCAGCCAGGGTGTGTATATATATGCTGGGTAGGTGTGTGTGTGTGTGTGTGTGTGTGTGTGTGTGTGTGTGTGTGTGTGTGGTGTGTGTGTGTGTGTGTGTGTGTGTGTGTGGTTGTGTGTGTGTGTGTGTGTGTGTGTGTGTGTGTGTGTGTGTGTGTGTGTGTGTGTGTGTGTGTGTGTGTGTGTGTGTGTGTGTGTGTGTGTGTGTGTGAGGGCGCTGAATAATGACTGTTGGTTCCCTGAACACTACAGCAATATTACCCAACAAGTATAGTGTAAACAACAACAACCAGCAACAACAAACAACAACATAACAACAACACTAACAACAACAACACTAACAACAACAACACAAACAACAACACTAACCAACAACACTAACAACAACATAACAACAACAACACTAACAACAACAACACTAACAACAACACTAACAACAACAACTTTAACAACAACACTAACAACAACACTAACAACAACACTAACAACAACAACAACAAACAGCAGCATAACAACAACACTTTAACCAACAGCAACAACAACAACAACACTAACAACGGAACAACACAACAACAACACTAAAACAACAGGCAACAACACTAACAACAACACTAACAACAACACAACAACACTAACACTAACTAACAACGAACACAAACAACAAAATCTAACGACAACACTCAACAAACAACTAACAAATGACGCTAACAGACAATGAGCAGAACTGGGCAACAACAACTAACAACACACTAACAACAACACTAACAACACTAACAACACTAACGGCAGACAACACTAACTAACCGGACAACAACAACACTAACAACAACAACACTAACAACAACACTAACAACAACACTAACAACAACACTAACAACAACACCTAACAACAACAACACTAACAACAACACTAACAACAACAACACTAACAACAACAACACTAACAACAACAACACTAACAACAACACTAACAACAACACTAACAACAACACTAACAACAACACTAACAAGAAACAATACTAAACTAACACTTAACACTTAACTTCAAGACCAACATTTACTCATTCAGGTTTTACAAGACTGG